CACACACACACACACACACACACACACACACACACACTCACTCATGGTCGTCACAAGTTTGAAGCCTTTTTGAGGCTCAAAATGTGGTTTTAGTGTCAGGGGTACAGTTAGGTTATGGTCAGGTTTGATAAGCGGCTCGAGAAAGCATTATGTCAATGAAGGTCCTCACTAAGATAGCTGAACGGGGTTGTGTGTGTGCATTTGTGCGTGCATGCCCTGAGTTTGAGTCCTTTCCTCTGCAGACGTGATCAGACGGTCGTTTCTTTGTCTTCTGCTTTAAATTATTAGTAAAATCTGTGTTTGTGCTTTTCTCCTGTGCCGATCGGCCCGCGGTGGATGGATGTTTTCCTTCTCTCTGATCCCAGGTCAGTTTGCAGGATCTCAAACCTTTCGCTGCGTTCACCCAGAACTTTTGTGCCGACTCCTTCAACATCCTGAACACCTACCAGGAGGCCGTGTACCTGTCCCTGCAGGTGTGTTTGTTCAAACAGGAGAAATACTGGAGTTGAAGAGTCCTGGACTCGTTTTGTAAAGAACAGGTCAAAACTTCACGGAACCTGAGATTATTCTGAGTTCTTACTATGTTCTTTTAAATATGTTTTGCTAAACTACAGTCTGTGTGCTCGTATGTGACGCGTCCTCCTTCCTCTGCACCAGGAGGCGGCTCGCCGCTGTAAGAAGCAGTTCGCTCCTCCTCCAAAGGGCAGAGAGGAGCTGCTGAAGCAGATGTTGGACTGGGCGTTGGGAGGCTTCCAGCCGTCGGGGCCTGAAGGATTTCAGCCCAACGCTCCAAAGAACGGTAAGAACATTGATACTACCTGCCTGACTGAGTCGGAGTGACGGTGTGGCTCACCTGTGAACGCCTGTTTCTGTGTCAGTCGTGGAGGCGGGGTCAGGGGTCGTACAGGAGGAGCTCAGAGTAGGACAGACTTGACGTGCTCCGTCTTATTTATGATGTATTTTGATCACATGTTTGATTTCCCTCTGCAGACTGGTGGTCGAGGGTGATGAAGAAGCTCCCCCATAAAGCCTCCTCTTCTCCTGACTCCTCCAGCATCAACCTGAAAGATGTGGAGGTGTGCCTGAAGAGGCTGTCCTGCAGCTCCATCAGGAAGGCCTCAAAGCCTGCAACGGCAAACAAAAAGGAAGGTCATCCTGCGGAGCACGGCCCCAAAGCACGGAAGGAGAAGGAAGCTCGAGGAGGAGGGTCAAAGATGGGGAGACAGGGGAAGAAGGAGGAAGAGGAGGAGGAGGAGGAGGAGGAGGAGGAGGAGGAAGAAGAAGAAGAGGAGGAGGAGGAGTGGCGAGGAAAGGGGAAGAGTAAGACAGGATGGAGAGGAAGGAAGGCTCATAAGAAGCGAGGCGAGCTGAACGATGACGTGTCGTCTGATTGGATGCCGAGCAAGAAGAAGATCTACACCAAACTCCACAACAAGGTCAACAAGCCGACCGCCTCCTACGCACAGCCCGACCAGAAGCACAGAGGTAACGCCCGGCGGCTGTTAGCGATGCAGCTGTTAGCCTCCGCTGTCAGCTCTCACCTGAGCAGGTGTGAACGTGGCTCACTCTCTCTCACTGCTCCTTTCAGAGACGATCATCAGCACGATCGTGGACATGAAGCTGGACATCGAGGGTGAGTGTGCAGCGCTGCATGCCTGGAATCTTTGCGTGCATGCGCTCGTGTGTTTGATCGTGTGCTGTTTGCAGGGTACTGTCTGTGCTGTGGGACGGACAACATTGAGATCTTCCACCCTCTGTTTAAAGGCGGCCTGTGCCTGAAGTGTAAGGTGAGGAGCTGCTCTCAGGCTTGGTGCTCGACTCCCTGATAGTCGTGAGGAAGGACCCGTGCATCCATCAGCACGCGCAGTTTAAAGCTGCATGGACGCTGCTGCAGTTTGTGGTGTCGGGTTGCAGCGTAGACCTAACGCAGAAACAGGAATCCTGCAGAGCTCTTAACCCTTGTGTGGTGTTCGTATTTTTGTTACTCAGCCAGTGTTCATGGGTCTGGTGGACCCGCTAGAGTTTTGGCTTTCCAAATTAACACTATCAAACAATTTTATGTTAAATTACTCAACAGATGTTTACTTCATCCCAATTACAAGACATATGAACAGCAAACATGGTTAATTTTTTCCCTTTACCTTTGTTAGATCACATTTATGAATTAATGTGCTTCTCGTTTTTCTTTTATATAAAATGTTATAAATAAATCAGTTATAATCAAGTGGAGTGAGTGGAAAGACACAACACATTTACACGTGAAAAAATAATTGTTTCATTTTTCTTTTGAAAAAAACTGAACACGGGTCTCACAGACCCGAACACCATACAAGGGTTAAAGAACTGAGCAGATGTTTTCCTTTGTTTCTGTGTGTTGTTCGAAACGTCCAAGCTCCTCCTGAGCAGCTGGCTGTGATGGTGTCTGTGTGCCTGCAGGATAACTTCACAGAAACCTTATATCGTTACGACGGCGATGGATATCAGTCCTACTGCACCATCTGCTGCTACGGGATGGACGTCCTGCTGTGTGGCAACGATGGCTGCTGCAGGTTCTCAGCTTCTTTCAGTGTTTCGGCCGCATGTGCCAGCCCGTTCTCCGTTCTTAACCTCTGTTCTCCGCCCTCAGGTCTTACTGCGAGGACTGTCTGAACATCCTCGTCGGGCCGGGAACGTTTGATTCGCTGAAGCTGGAGGACCCGTGGATCTGCTACCTGTGTCAGGCTCACAGACCCCACAGAGCGCTGATCCCCAGAGAGGACTGGAGCATCCGCGTGCAGGAGTTTTTCACCAATGACAGCGGCATGGAGTTTGTGAGTGGAAAACCAGCCTTGGTAAAGATCTGTGTGCAGGAAGCCCTCAAAGGTGCTGCCCTGCCCCGCTGATTCTATTAGTCCTTTATTCAATTATCCAGGTAAAATCTCATTGAGATCTAATTTCCTGCCACCATGGCAACAAAAGTCAAATACATGTAGCACATAAGTATATAACATTAAAACAAATAAAATATCCTGTACGAACACGTGAAAATCTCACAACACATCAAATTAAGAGCGACATTGAAAACAAAAGAACTTCCTTTAACGTGGACTTAAACTGCCCCAGGGTGTCTGATCATTGCAGTTGCTTGGAGACTAACAGCGTTACTAAAAAATTATCCGCGTAACCTTCTCAGGGTTGCGGCGTGCGCTGCAGGCTATCCCAGCTGTCTTAAGGCAGGAGGCGGGGTACACCCTGGACACGCCTCCTGTCCGTGGCAGGGCACACAGACAACCGTTCGCGCTCACATTCACGGTGTGATTTAGTGTTTCCACCTATCCCCACTAACTGCATGTCTGTGGACTGTGGGAGGAAGCTGGAGAGAACCCACACAAACACGGGGAGAACATGCCAACTCCACCCAGAAAGACCCCGATGGAGGAACTGAACTCAGGACCTTCTTGCCCCCTGCAAATTATGCATAAGTGTAAACTTGCACGCATCTTTAAATATCCACATTATTGCATACGCTGGGTTAGACTCTGATTCTCACAAATAAGCTACGAGACCTACAAGCAGTTTTACTCATGACTTTCTTCTAGTTGTGTGACGGGAACCTGCAAAGTACGAGTGTTGCGTCACCCTTTCTGTAACTGTAGCTCCCACACAAAGGTTTTCTCAGGTACTCGCACAGCAGATTCTTTCGTCCATATCGTGGCAGAAAGTTCATTTTTATTCCCGACAGTTGTCAAAGTAATGCTTGCTTAGCGCAGCGGGCCGAACTCGCAGCCCGTAGAAATACAACGCCGTCTGTCCCTTGAGGTGACGTTTCTGTTAGGGACGGTTTGTTTGTTGTGCAATATTAAAATCTTCAAAAATGATTGAATATGAAGGCAACATGAGCACAAACATGCTGAGGGATCGGCTGTGTTAGCGTCTCAAACTCACGTGAACACTAAAGTGTGCGTTTGTGTTTTACATACGAACAAAATGCAGGACAGAGGACGGGCTATTTGGTAGTTCAGTGAGTTCAGAGGGAAACGTGCTCATGTCTGCAGTTTTGAAATAAAAACAAAACAGCTTTGTTTTCTACTTGAACACTAAAATGAGAGGACGTGCCAGCAGCGGCACACAGCTCCTTGCAGCCCTCTGTCACAGCTAGTGACCCCTGTGGCCACGTGGTGAACTGCAGTCATCAGTGCCGGATCAGAGTTCTGTGCTTCTGTTTTATGTGTGTTTGTGTAGAAGGTTAAACTATGTTGGTGACGCATTTACTTTAATTCTCTTCAAGATAAATAGAAATTAGAAATAAAATGTTGGTGTCGGCATCAGATCCACTCAGGGTTACACTTTTTTACATCGGAGCACCCCGTGTTGTGCGTCAGGTGTGACTTCCTGTCGTCTCGTCAGAAATCACGCCGGCTCTTGTGTGATGCTGTTTTTCTTGTTGCAGGAGCCTCACCGCGTCTACCCGTCCATCCCTGCAAACCTCCGCCGACCCGTCAGAGTCCTGTCGCTGTTCGATGGCATCGGCACAGGTGAGCTTTACCTGCCCTTCTGCTCCTGTGAAACGGCCATACGCTCCTGCTCTTCCACACAGCCCCTTCTTTTCTCCGCGTCCCGACAGGTTTCTACGTGCTCAAGGTCCTGGGCATCAAAATAGACAAATACGTCGCCTCTGAGGTTTGCGAGGATTCGGTCGCCGTTGCCACCGTCAACCACGACGGGAAGATCGTCCACATCGGAGACGTGCGGCACATCACTCAGGAACGCGTATGTCCTTCGTAATTCCTCTTTCCACAAATGAGGACGCGCTCTGTTTTATTTTGGCGTCTCCACAGCGGTACGTATCCGTGCGAGCAGGAGACCAACGTGGCGGACAGACTGAGAGGGCGTCTCCAGTTTGTTTTTCTGAGCTGAGACAGAAGATTTGACTGAGTGTGTTTGACGGGTCACAATATAGAAAGTGCTGCGGTGAAGCCCCGCCCCCTTTTCTCACCACGTCTTCTTTGCTCCTCCAGCTCGAGCAGTGGGGACCTTTTGACCTGCTCATTGGCGGCAGCCCCTGTAACGACCTCTCCATCGTCAACCCGTTAAGGAAAGGCCTCTACGGTAGGTTTCTGCAGCTCGTCCGGTCACACAGGTGTCAGTGGTCTAAAGGCTATTGTTGGTGTTCCTGTGTCTCTTCCTTCCTGCAGAGGGCACTGGGAGGCTTTTCTTTGATTACTACCGCATCCTTCAGTGGCTGAAGCCCAAAGAGGACGACCTGCGGCCGTTCTTCTGGCTGTACGAGAACACGGTCGCCATGAACACCTGCAACAAAATCAGCATCTGCCGCTTCCTGGAGGTCTGCACGCGCTCACTTCCGTTTGGATCCATAACCCTCTGCTCTTCCTCTTCCTGTGTGCTTCCTTAGTTAAACTGACGAGGTGTAAACTGTGTCTTGTTTTCCCGTCAGTGTAACCCGGTGATGGTGGACGCCATGCACGTAACTCCGGCCCGCAGAGCTCGCTACTTCTGGGGAAACATCCCGGGAATGAGGAGGTACGTGAGCTTTAGCATCTTTTTAATATTAGTCGGATATTTCATGTTTTCGTGGAGTTTCCTCTTTGGAAGTGCGGCCTCCGTGAATCGTGGGGTTTGTGCTGAGCTGGAGCTGCAGAGGACGGCAGCGGCTGCTTTTAATGAATCGCTGTGATTTAATCTGAAGCAAAGATCGTTAGAGGGAGACGCCCGGTGAGCTCTGTGAGTGCACGTTTCCTCATTCCAGGAAGACAAAAGTTTTCCGATGGAAAAGTTTGTCTTTTGCGAGCGACGCCGGCTCCGGGACGGCCACAGCGACCCAAGCAGACAGGAAGGGCTGTGGCGGTTAGCAGCAACGAAACTTTCAAAATAAGAGCAAATACCGTATTTTCACGACCATAAGGCGCACTGTGCTAAAAGGCGCAGTCTCAGTTATGTGTGCCCTTACTGTATTTAACACACACATAAGGCGCACTGGACCATAGGGCGCATACAAGTAC